TCTTTGCTCCTCCAGGAGATATAGTGGTCTGCCTGCCTCTTGGCTGGTGACTTCCAGGCCGCGCGGCCTCCAATCAACCGGTACCTCCTCCCTTTCGGAGGGAAACTTCATTGCAGACTCTGATATTGCGGGTACAGGCCCTAGACTCAGACTGGTTGGACTGGTACCCGCCGAGACCTGGCCTTCAACTACCAAGCCTCTAAAAATGCCAGCTTTTGTCTTCTTCTACTCAGCCTAGAGTACCCAGCACATCTACCTCTTCTTGGTGTGGTACCGGCCTATCTGCTACTTGATTGTTTTTCCACTGCTCTACGTGCCGCGGGCCTCTTTCCCTGCCACTTGAGTGTACCCATCGATGTCACGGCCACAGGTAAGTACCGGCCCTTCGGGCCTCCCGAACCAACAAGCGTCCCTTGCGGGTCAAACACACACTCAAGCCGACAAACAATCAGACAGGCACGCAGACCAGCAAGCACGTACACCCACAGACTTGGAAAACTCATCAACAAACGGGTATCTCAGTAAGGCATTAGCAAAACTCAGAAATCAGCTGTGTCTCAGTCCGTGTTTGGCAGGTCCTTAAACTTGTACATTTGCCGCGGCCGTTTCCATTTGGTTTTACTCCCTTCCCATCCTACCGCCCCCGCCTCCCCTCCCACATTTACTCCTACCGTAACATGCTCCCTGTCCTCTTCCTAATTTTATTTATGGCACACCTATCCTTTCCGTATCTTTTCTCTCCAGGACCTTCCGTACGTGTACTATGTCCCACATTGGCTTCCGGTTGTCCTATCTGCCTTAGCAGCAGGGACCCAAACAAGATTCGCCCGGTCTGGGGATCTGGGGATAGCAGCTGCGGGTATGGCCCCCATCTCTTCCAGAATTGGTCGTTCTTCTGAGATTCTCCAGCGCCCATTCCTGGTATGCCTGCAGAGGGTGGGCCTTGCGCTGTTTTCAGCGTGTGTTCCTCAGGGTCCATATGGCCCACAGTATTGCTGCGTTCCTGGTATGCCTGCAGAGAGGGGCTGTGCCCTGTCTTCCGACTTCATTCTGTCGACTCTCATCAATGCCCCTGTAAGGATGACCTCATCAATGGCATCATCCATTTCTATCACTTTCATCGATGTATAGTCTGCCCTCTCCTGCGCCCACGAGTTCCAGAAAGATGACCACGGGACATTGCACAAACAGGCATGGTATAGTCTTCACACCCCGCAGTGCATGACTGGTCTTTGTGACAGCTTTTATTTGCTAGCTATTGTGCTGTCGGGATGACCAAGTGATAGATTTGCCATAGAAGCCCAGTTTATTTCTGGTTAGGCAGGGACACCATTATAGCACATTGTTCGTTCCACTTGGCAATGCGCTGTTGTCCATCTGTCGTAGTAGGCGTCTAGGAGCCAATCTCTCTTAGCCCACCAATTCTTGAGTTCCCCACAGACATCGTGAGGCTCTACCAAGGAGTTGTAAATATCGGCGTCTGGCAGCCAATCTCTCTTAGCCCACCGATTCTCAAGTTCCCCACAGACATTGTGCGGCTCTACCGAGGAGTTGTAAATATCCTTTGTCGTCAACTGCTGCAGGGAGGTTGTTTTCCTGTGCATCTTCTGTGATGGCCACTCCCATTCCCGCAGATCCCAATTTAGATCTCGCCGTCTGCACGCCAGCCTGTGTGGACAGTATTGACCCTCCTCCTTCCTCCCGCCCTCGCATACCGCCACAGTTTCCACCCGACTCCTCGCCAACCTCCTTTGGGCAGGCTGTTGCTGTCCTGTCGCCATCCGCAGGGCCTCACCCATCCCCTCTTATCCCGAGTTAACCTTCCACGCGGTGACTTCCAGCAAGTTCCCCGGCAAGATCTGTTCCACTCGGTACACCGTGTTTGGCCTGGTGATTCCCCTAATGTCCACCCTTTCCCCAGGGGTCAGCTTGCCCTTTCTCAACAAGTCAATCCATTGCGAGGGTATGACCTCGTTCAGCTCTCTCAGCCGTTGCCTTCTTCTTGCCTTACCCGAGAGCACATAAAAAAAAAAGAAAAAAAAGAGCACTGTCATCATCTAATTATCCATACGCCAGTCGCTGTGCTCCTCATCCCATAAATGGCCCACCTTTGTAGACCCCCCACTCCGCCCATTTCCATCCATATGCTCCCGGGCGGCCCGACCATGGGAAAGGGTCCCCCTCTTCATCACAAGTCATCGAACAGCAGCTGGTTGAACACGCATCTGTGGTCTCCGGCAGGGGGCACCTCAACAGCATTTTTTTCCACAGCCCCAACTACGTGGACCACACGCCGCCTCTTTCAATGTGGCCTATTAGCGGACTACTCAGCAGGCACAATTCCACCACCTCTTCCTATGTTTGCAGTGCATAAGCCAGGTGGGCTCGAGCTAGTTCTTGCCAAGTTCCCCCCATCGTACCCAGCAGGAATCAAATTAGCTGGCGCAAGTGGAGACCCAGTGCAATGATCTGGAGTTGCGGGTCCAGCAGCCCCAGTCCTCCAAATCGCCTTGGCTGGGTCAGCTCGTTCCATTCCACTTTGCAGATAGAGTCTTCAGCCTCTGCGCTATTCAAACATAAGTGTGCATGGATCACATGTCTAATGTACCGGAACGTCTGTTTGCTCAGCAAGTGCACTGCCCCTGCGTACCACAGCGTTGCCAGCACCAGGTTCTTGTGACAGGCATTCGGCCGCTGCAGCCGAGAAAGTCAGCCGCGGCCGCGGCCGATGAGGCCCAGTCCACGGCCTGTTTTTTTTTCTTTTTTTCTTTTACCCCTAAAAATACGTAAAAAAAAAAAGAAAAAAAAAAGGGATGTAGGGCTTGGAAAAGCCTACAATCCTATGTTTTTTATTTCGGAATCCCGACTTCATTTAAGATTTTTAAAAAATGAAAAACGAAATTCGATTTAAAAAAAAAAAAAAACCAGGATTTTTTTTTTGGCATTTTTTATCATGAGGGATATGGTCCCTGAGTTGTGCTGTATTTTTTTCTGAAATGATTTT